CATGAAAGCTAAGCTACTAGGTGAAGGGGATAGGTTGATAGGCATATAGTGGTAGATATTTAAGGGAATATTCCAGAATATTCAGAATAATTTAAAACGCAGGACCAACTATCCATGGCTACCTAAAGGCATTAGCAAGTATCCAACTTAAGAGAGAAGCATATCACTACACAATGCAGCATGGCAGGTCAGCTGAATGGTCAGAATGTAAAGAATGACTAAAAGGTTAATAATGAGGAAGTAATTAGAGTATGAGAGGAAGCAAAAAGATGTAAAAACAGATACACGTACTTAAAGATGAAAAGAGTAAAGTGATTATTGATCCTCTAGAGAGTGAGAATGGATGTGTTACAACACGAAGACAGACAGCTGAATTGAATCAGCCTCTCTACCTCTGTATTCAGAGCACAGTAAAATTCAAACCTTCATATGTCTCTCAAAATTGACCCAAATGCTTCCTGACCACACTCCTGAATAACCAATCCCAGACTCTGTGAATAGTCGATTCCAGACACCGGGTTTGTATCTCAAACAAACTGTGGTAGAGTAAAATTAAAAATAAACAGAATAATCTAGTTAATTTCTATGCTTTAAACCCAAACCTTAGCTTTCAGTCTCATTCACATAAGACAAACAGACAAACATAATTAACAGAGAAATAAAATAAAACTGGCCAGATTACTTAAGTGATTTTCACAATGCACTGTTTCACCAGCATAAATGATAGCTTCTTGGTTGATCTTCTGAAGACGTTGCTCAGGATCACCTTTTCAGTTTACTTAGATAGAAGCAGTAATACTTACGGCTTTATTTTTTATCTTCTGAGCTTCCAAGAGCTACTCATGGGAAGTTAGACAGGGAACTTTCAAGTCTTCATACTGTAGCATCAACAGTCAGATTCCTTTTTATACAGAAACCACAACCTGAAACTCAATTCAAACTCTGACCCCAGTGTGATAGACAGACCGTCTCCTCCACGAGGTCCAGGTTACCATTCAACATCATGTTTCCACAGTGCAGCCACAGTGCCTTTCACTCCCTAACCTTATTAATCATACTCTGTGACTCGAATCCATGCAGTAACACTGACCTAGACTTCATTACTTTCTCCTTTGCTCTCACTTCATTGCTGCCTTTCTAATGCTTCTGTCTTTGTTTTTGTCTGTCTGAGTACATTGTGCAACTTGTTATTCTTCTCGTTTCTTCTCTCTTTGTTCCAACATCCCTGCCGAGTTAGGGAAGAAATGAGGAGAAATGTTTTCTCTCTGAGGGTGTATAACCCTGGAACTCACTGTCTCAGGAGGGAGTGGAGGTGGTGGTCATTGAACATTTTTAAGACAGATGTGATCAAATTCTTGTTAGGCAGAGAATCGAGAGTTATTGGGGTGGGGGTCAGATGGGAGAGCGGAATTCAGAACACGAACAGATCAGCCATGGACTTATTGAATGGGTCGGCAGACTGAAGGGGCTAATTGCTTAATGGTGTTCCCTATTTTGAATGTTTGTTTGGTTAGTTACGATTGGACTGTTTGTAAGTTATTTTCTTCACTGGAATTAAAATTAAAAATTTATAACAATTTTTTAAACTGGTCACTGAAAAATCCAGATTGTAATATGTTCCAAATGAAAAAAAAAATTCATCCTTTGTGAATCTCTCAAGGATTTGCATCATACTTCACATTCAATTAATTACATTGAATTGCAATCATTGCTGTAGTGTAGGTGAAGCTTTGTAAAATCCCACAGAGAGCAAGATGATTAATTGGTTAATCTGTTTGTGCTGGTGCTGGTTGAGCAAGAATTGAGCAGAGATTCTGGGTTAACATGCAGTTTTCTTCAGCTGTTAAACTCAAAAAAAGGCCAAATTGGCATTAAAGGACAGTATTGACAACATGGTAGTATTATCACAGTGCTGTTCTGTTTTGGTGCTGTTGTCCCTCAGTGCTGTGCCCTCTCAGTGCTGTGCTCCCTCAATGCTATGTCCCCTCATAGCTGTACCCACTCAGTGCTCCACTCCCTCACTCCTGTTTTCCCTCAGTCTTGGGGTAGCAAGGTGACTCAGTGGTTAGCACTGCTGTCTCACAGCACCAGGGACCTGGGTCAATCCCAACCTTGGGTGACTGTCTGTGTGGAGTTTGCATCTTCTCCCCGTGTCTGTGTGGGTTTTCTCCCACGTGAGGATGTGCAGGTTAGATGGATTGGCCATGCCAAATTGCCCATACAACCCAGGGATGTTCAGGCTAGATGGGTTAGCCATGGAAAATGCAATGTTATGGGGATAGGATAAGGGGGCTCGGATGGTCTTTGGACATTGGCTCAAATGGCTTGCTTCTGCACTGTAGAGATTCTATGATTCTCAATGCTGTTCTCCCTTATTGCTGTACTGCTTTGGCACCACAGCAGTATTTTGGCTCTTGCGGCCTGTTAAAGGATTTTGGAAAATAGCTTTCCAATCAAAGGTTGCTGGAGGTCTCAGGCAGGTGAAACAGACATGCAATTGATTGTAGAAATATTACCTTCTGCAATGAACCACTAGATATTAGTATCGACCTGGTAGCATATTAACATTATCCAGTCTACAGCAGAACAGAAAAACACAGCATGTTGTCATTTCAGAAACAGTTCGGGGATTAGTGAGGAGGCCATAGCTCTGCAGTTTGATGAGATTTGGTTTGACTGAGCTTGGTGTTCTGAGCTCTGATCAACCAGCTCAGAGCTGAGGTAGTGCCTTGTGCATGTAACAAATGCCTAAAATCTCAAAGTGAGCAGCTGTGCATTGAAGAATGTTCTGGCAACGATGATGTGATATGGGAAACGTGAGTGATAATAATTAGGCTAAACGTAAAGTTCCATCTGCCAAAATACATGTCAAGATCTATATGATACACAGCTCCAGATGTGTTAAGAATTCCTCAGGAAGGATACATTATAGAGTCACAGAGTTTTATAACACCAAATGAGGCCCTTCAGCCCATTATGTCCATACTGGTCATCAAGCCCCTATCTACCTCAGTCCCGTAGTCTTGTGGACTCTGGTGTTTCATGCGATCATTTAAACACTTGCTAAATGTCATGAGGGCTCCTGCCTCGAACACCCTTTCAGACGGTAAAGTCCAGATTCCCACCACTCTCTGGGTGAAAAGATTGTTATTTATTATTCCCCAGAGCAACTTATACTTGGAATGGCCCAGGGTTTCTGAGAGGAAGGTTGAAGATTCCAGTTTGCACATTCCTGGCATCTAGAAATGTCCAGACATGTTCCCAACCATGAGCTGGGTTTGAACACTTCAGTATGTCCCAACTCATTTAGTTTAATATTTGCCCATGAGGTGTTAGAGGCAGTAAACTCCCTGACCCTCGCCCCCACTGATTCAACTGCAACTGACAGTCCCATCCATTCCCTCACTGACACCCCTCCCCCTTACCCTCTCCTCCCCCACTGACTCAACCACCTCTGACCTTATGATGGAGGGATGGTCATTGGTGAAGCAGCTGAAGTTAGTTTGGTCTAGGACAATACCCTGAGGAACTCCTGCAGAGATGTCCTGGAGCTAAGATGAGTGATCTCCAACAACCACAACTTTTGTTGAGGTTTGCCTCTGATTCTTATTGTTTCTAGTTTTTCCAGGTCTCCTTGCTGCCAAATTCTGTCAAATGTTGCAATGATGTCGAGGGCACTGTGAAATACACTTAAAGTTTCAATGAATAGCCTAAACAGGATAGTCTAGGTTAGCAACTAAATGCCACAAAGATAATCTGGTCAACAATTATCAGGAAATGATGCAATAGATGACTATGCAATGATTTGCTACAAGTTTCAGAGATCTGTTCTCCCTCAGACTTGTCCGTGCCTTTACATATCTTTGTGAATTCCTCTGATTATTCAGTGCCAATCAAAATACACAGTGCCAAAGAACTGCAGATGCTGGAAGTCAGAAACCAAAACAGAAATTGCTGGAAAAGCTCAGCCGGTCTGGCAGCATCTGCAGAGAGAAATCCACGTTAATGTTTTGGGTCGAGTGAGCCTTCCTTGGAACTTGGAGGGAACAGTCCTTGCAGAACGCTGAAAAGGGAGGTGAGCGGAATATGTGTGGTATCTGGCTGGAGGTGGCGGAAATGGAGGCTGATGATCTTCTGGATGTGGATGTTGGTGGGATGGTCAGCAAGGACGAGGAGGACCCTATCGCTGTTGTGGGAGGGAACAGATGGGCAGAAGTGCGGGAGATTAGTTGGACCCAGCTGAGGGCTTTGTCTACAACAGTGCTTGGTCTGTTGAGGAAGAAGGTGGACATTTTGGGGTCCCCTTGTCGAAGTCGCCACCATTGGAACATATGCGATGGAGATGGAGGATTTGGGAGAATGGGATGGAGTCTTTGCAGGAAGCAAGGTGTGAGGATGTATAGTCCAGCTAGCTGTGGGAGTTGGTGGGTTTATGGTGAATGTTGGTGGCCAGCCTACCCCAGAAATGGAAACAAAGATGTTGAGGAAGAGGAGGGAGGAGTCAGAGATGAACCAAGTAAAGGTGAGAGCAGGATGGAAATTGGAAGCAAAATTAATAAACTTTTTCAATTTCAGATGAGAGGGGAGGCAACGCTGATGATACCAGAGAAGGAGTTGTGAGGAGGGGCTGGAATAAGACTGCAAAAAGTTTCGGAGGAAGGATCACTCGACCTGAAATGTTAACTCGGATTTCTCTCCCTGATGCTGCCAGACCTGCTGAGATTTTCCAAGATACACAATGCCACTTACTCCACTCATGCACAAACCTACAGTGAACTCTCTGACAGGACTGCCCCAGCAGACTGACTAGTGCACTCCACTTCTACAATGCCTTTATGTTCACCATCACAATGCCTCCAGACCCCTTCCTGTTAACTTCCTGAAGCTCACTTACATCCAGATTGCCACAGAGTAGGTTAATTTATCCATTTTAACTTCAAAGACATAAAACTCTGTAAAGATTTTCCAGCCTCTCCAGTTGTGCTTATTCCCAAATGCAGGGCACTAGATTTCACGTGTGATTTTAGCGAGAGGCCGGTCCCATTGAAACACTTCACAATAAAGCCACATTTCAATCGACAGCAGAACATCACAAACCTGAACATCGCCAAGTAGAATTAAAAGGCTGGGACCAAAAGATTAAATAAAATGGATCTCAAATTGTGTTTGAAAGTTTGGGTACAAATCCTTAAATGGTTGATGAGAAAGGGGCAGCCAATTTGCACAGAGTAATGTCCCAGAAACTGCAATGTGAGAAATGACACGATTGTTTCAGTGATGTTGTCTCATTATTGGATGAGGAGTCTGTGGAGAACTGCCTTGCTCTTCTTCACACACACAGTTGCTGTGGGATCTTTGAAATTATTTCTATGTGAGTGAATAAATATCCCAACCACAAGGAAAACCTTCAGCTGTCCAGCACTTCTCCTGCATTGGGCAGTTTGAGGAGGTTGCAGTCTTGATTTTTGTACCTAAATCTCTGGAATGGGGCTTGAACTCAGAATTTTCTGATTCTTGAGACAGCAGAGCTAATGCAGAAAAACAGCCCAAGAGCTTCACAAGTTGGAATCTGTGGAGCTGAACTCATAACCTTCAGTGAGCTGCTTTCTCAGCTGTCTAGACTATGATGCAACATATTATTAATTAACCTGGCAGATCAGTTGGCATCAAATCAGGAGGTGGGTCTGGTTTTCCCTCCAGCATCATGTTTCACTAACAATTCGTCAAGTTTGAAAACATCTTTTCAAGGGTTCTCTTGACATTTTCATTCCTGGTGCGACACCATTCAGACCCTATAATGAGAGAATGTGCGAGTTGGCTCTGGGAGATCCTGATTGCATTTTTGATGAACACTGCAGTTTCTGTTTCACTGCATTTGCAGTGGGTGACACAGTCATGTCAATGTGGGTCAGGCAGAAACTGCTGGAAATGAAAACCCCATCTCCAATAGAAACCAGCTAACCCTCCATAGGCTTAGGCAGAGGGCCACTGAGTGGTGAGGACACAGTTGGATCCTGTTCGTTGAGGTAGTAAAGATGAAGAGAACATCGCTGAAGAAATGAGATGGCACGAGAGACAAGATTGAAATGCTTTTAGCTGTTAGTGAATTTTAGAGAGTGCATTCTCTTTAAATGTCATGATATCATTACATTTGCATTATAGCATGATGACGTGAACTGTCCTCAGACTGAATCGAAAACAGGGCGAGAGACCAGTTTTGACTGTGTTCCAACACAGAGACAGACAGCTGGACCAAATCAACCTTTCTATCTCCACGTTTGCAACACAGTGAAACTCAAACCTTCAAAAACCCTTAAAATTGACCACAATGGTTCCTAATCAGACTTTTTGAGAAATCATCTCAGAATTTGTGAATAGTCAATTCTCAACTCTGGGCCTGTAACTTAAACAAAAGGCTAAACAATTTATAAACAAAGCATTAACATTAGCAGAGCAAGAAAAAACACAAAGTAATATAATCAGTCTCAATAACCTTTGTTTTTAGCATCATTCGCACAAAAGAAAGACTGACAGACAAACATGGTTACCAGATAAATAAAAAAAAACACAATTAAACTGACCAGATTATTTAAGTGGTTTTCATAATGTGCTGTTCCACAGGCACAGGTGATAGTTTCTTGGTTGATTTTCTAAAGATGTTGATTAGGGTCATCTTTTCAGTTCACTTAGATAGATACTTACAACTTAGTTTTCTATTCTCTGAGGTTCCAAAGGCTGCTTATGGGAAGTTAGACAGGGAACTTTCAAATCTTCATGCTGTAGCATCAACAGTCAGATTCCTTTTTATACAGAAACCACAATTCAAACTCTGACCATTCCTCACAGACTGACCGTCTCCTCCATGAGGTCCCAGTTACCATCTGCTTGAGCATAAGGTCTTTTCCAGATCTGCTGGAATCAATTCCCAGGTACTGACCTCATTAATAACCAACTCCTGCTCTTTGTTCAACCATAATGCTCTTCCCTGGTGATGAAGCATGTGCAGAATCTTTTGTTCAGGAACTTCCAGGCCTGACCTTGTAAATAAACAAAAGCTTATTTGCTTTGATTTCCTTCTAACACAAGCTGTTACTCACAGTGCAAAAGTCATCTTTAGTTCCCAGTTCCAAGTTCACAAAAACAGTCCAAAATTGATAAAAGAATACAATAAAAAAACACTGAAAACCAATTCACAATGATCTCACACACATAACCTTCATTGTGCGTTAGGTGCTAGAATTTACTGAACACCTAATGGGACAGAAGTCCTCTGCTCTTTTGTTGATTTTGAGTGTGCGTTCTGCACTTTAGATTGACTTTTCTGGAGAGAAAGGGGTTGGAGGAGTTGCCAATAAACACTGATGCATTGAGTCATAATGATGAATAATTGGTCAGCCTGGTGGCCAAACCTCTCCCATTACACTGTCCCTAAATCTCTCCCATTATACTGTCCCCAAACCTCTCCCATTACACTGTCCCTAAAT